GTGTGTGTATGATGTGTGTGTGGTGTGTGCACAGCATCAAGAAGTAGGGGAAGCAGTAGCTTTACTGGCAGAGGGAAGAGCAAGTTGGTAGAAAGCTCAACTGATCCAAGGAGCTGAAGGAAATCTTATGTGGGCGAAGCAAAGAGGAAGATGGTATGAGAGGAGACTGGTGAATTTAGCAGAGGCCAGATTACACAAAGCCTTTTTAAAATGTGGTTGTTTTCCTTAAAATTTTTTCCCAAGTTCAGTAGGAAAGCATTAAAGCATCTTAGAGGAGTAACATAATCTTATTTCCATTTTCTGTTTGTTTTTGTGGACAGCCAAATAAAAATAAGATAAAATTTGAAGGCCAGGAAGGAGACTATTGTTGTAGTTCAGTCAGGAAATGGTGAGGACTTGCATTTGGTGGTTCCCAGGCCCCCAGCAGACAATTGGTGATGTCTGGAGATATTTTTGGTGGTCATGACTGGGAGATGCTGCTGGTACCTAGTGGGTAGAGGTGAGAGATGCCACTAAACATCTTAAAAATGCACACAACAGTCCCCACAACACTTATCCAGCCCCAAATGTCAACTGTCTCAAGGTAGACAAATCCTGGACTAGGTGATGGCAGAAGAAGTGGAGAAAAGTAATTGGATTCAAGATGCGTGTTTAAGCTGAAATGACCAGGAATTTCAAAGCAATTAAATGTGTAGAGTGAAGGAATGAAATAATTCAGAGATGGCTTTCAGATTTCTGCCTTAAGTAACATGTCATAAGCATGTTGGGTGGGTAGGTGTTAAAACTTCTGTCTAGCAGATAAAAATCAATTGCTTAGTTTAAAATTCAGATCTACTCTTTACCAACTGTGAGTGGCAAGATACACAAGCATCTGTGTCTCAGTTTTCCCATCAATAAGATGAAGATTAAGGGGATTTACTTCAAAGGTATGTGATGAAAATTGATGATTTAACCCTATAAAGTACTTCACACAGGCCTGGCATGTGGTCAACAGTCAAGTGTTCGTTACTTTTGCTGTTGTTACTGTTGTTAATATTATTATTACTGTTAGAGTCTGGACCTCAGGGAAGCTATCAAACTGGGACATACGAATTTGGGAGCCATCACCATACAGATGGCTATGCCAACATAGATGAAGCCTTGAGATGAGTATGTAGATAGAAAATGTCTAGGGCTGAACCTTGGGTACCATCGTTAGGATATTGAGGGGATAAGAAGAAGCCAGCTGAGAAGGGTCAGAAGGTGAGCAAAGGAAGTCAACAAAAGAAAGCATTTCAAGGATTGGATGCTCAACTGGGTTGATAAAGAAGGAGCTGGAAAAGTATCTCTTGAATTTCAAGGTCATCACTGACTTTGACAAAACTTCATTTAAGAAGTGGGAAGGAAGCCAGTTTAGGATGAGTTGAAGATGAAATGGAAGAAGATATGGGACAGAGTAGGTGGGAATTTTTCAAGAATTTTGATTTATAAGTGGGAATTTTTCAAGAATTTTGGTGAAGAAGAGCAGAATTGGTGGGGAGCTGTTACGTTAATGAAGGTGGTGAAGAAGAGCAGAATTGGTGGGGAGCTGTTACGTTAATGAAGGACAGGAGTTTTTCCTCTTTGTTCTTTAAGATAAATGCTCTTATTTTATATTTATTTACTGATGAGAGTAACATGGTAGGAAGGAGATGCATCATAGATGTAGGAGGGGAAGGAGTTGGGTAAAGTATCCTTGAGAGAATGAGAGGAGACAGGACAGAGAGGGCAGGAGAAGATGGGTGTCATGTAGATGGGACTGCAGTTTCTACGTTATGTGAGGGAAATGAAGGCCATGCCCATCTGGTCACTTTTTATTAGTGAGGTATATGAGGAGGGCCCCCAGAGATAAGGAGGGGAAGAGATTGTGTTTTGAGTAGAAAATAGTCACCTTGGAAACTGGGAAGGCTAGACTTCTATAGAAAAGTGGTAGGACCACTAGCTATCTTTTAACACTTGTGATCATGGATCTTCAGTGAAACTGGTGGCCTGCATTCTTTGAGTTTTCTCTTGCAGTGTCCAGTTGTTCAGGTATAAGCACAGAGAAGGCAGAAGGTGAAACACTGGCTTTGTCAAGGAGTTTGAGTTGTGCCAGGTGAACAGGACACAGGATAAAGCAGGGGAGTCGAGGGCACTTGCAACGGAGATGATGATGGTGGGTCATGGAATCTACACTAGGAGAGGATGGGATGTGAATAAAGAAAAGAGCTGCTGTGTAGGGTGAGAGTCTTGGGGATAAAAAATCTGTAAGAGAAAATATAGTATCTCAGATAGAGGAGGTGAGAGGGAAGGTAGGAGGAATGGTCAGAGAGAGCAGTGTTGACATCCACATTCCAAAGGTGGCTTACTTTCTGGTAATGACAGTGTACAGGGTATGGAAAGACAAGTGGGTGGCCAAGGTGGGGTGGAGGGGCGGCCACCGGTCCTGAGGGATTCAAGGAACTAGGAACAGGACAACTGTCCACCTGGAAGTTGAGTCACTGAGAATAGCAATTGGATTTGACTTAGAGAGAAAGGCAGAGGTGTAAGTCCTCAGAAAGCAAGGTATGGCCAGCAAGTTGGGCAGTGAGGACAGAATTACTGAGATAGAAAGAGAGAGACACAGAGGGAAAAACATCAAGACAGCATACATCTTAAAGGGACATGAAGGCACAATAGGACACTTCCTCCCCTCTTCGACCTAAAGGATGAAAGTGTGAGTGAACGAAGTCTCTGGTTTTGAGGAGAGTATTGGACTCACCGGCTGCCGGGTCCTAGTGGGATGACAAGGTGGAGTTTAGAGAAGAGGTCACGCCACCTGCAACCCCCATGTGTGCAGAGCAAAGTCTGTTACACAATAGAAGATCCAAGCCTGCAAGGTCAAAGCTTCTTCACTCCCATCTCCCCATTCCCCAGGTGCAGGGCAGAAGGAAGATTTTCAAAAGTTTGGAGACTAGAAATAACCAGAGAGCAAGTTAATTAAGTGTCATGACTGGTTTAAACCGAAGCCCACACTTAGCGCCAATGTGGATTAGGTGGAGGCTGTTTTTATGAAATCCACATTGTTTTGAGAATATCCTCCCTGGCATTCAGGTTCAAAACGTACTTTAAAGTTTTGTTTTAAATACTCTAGGCACAAAACACCTTATTGGTATTGTCAGAAAAAGAGAAGTTGTCCAATCAACCCCCTGTTCTTTGTGGCCTTTTATATTGGATCTTCATCTTTACGTACTGCAAATACCCTAAAGCTGTTCAAGGCAGTTGTCCAAGATAAGGAAGAGCATTGTAATAATAGTTAACCTTTTCTGGGGGCTGATGGCGTCTCAGGCATTGTTCTAGATAGTGTTCCTTTGTTGTTGCATTTCATGTTCACAAAACCTTTATGTCTTTTTATCCCATTTTACAAACTGGGAAAATGAGACACTGAGAAGGTGAGTGACTTGTCCAAGGTCACCAGCCATAAGGGGGAGAGATGAGAAAGCCTGTAGAGTTGTACTTTTAAGCATTTGGAAATCTTGCCATATACTGCAAACACATAGAGCATTTACTCTTCCTTTGTTGTTCAGAGCAGACATCACCGGTCAATTGCAGAGCAATCCCACCAAGCTTGATCCCTAATCCATTTCTCTAGAGCTGCAGTCAGTTGATAAGTTGGCAATCATTCTGCTTTCTGTCCATAGCCCCTTCTTTGCTTGCTCCTATTCTCCTAGAACTGTGTCTCTGCTCTGCTCCCAAGTTTGGGTCTGCTTTGACTTTGGCCCTTTACACTTGGCATAAAGTCTTGGTCTCTTTCAAGTTTGACTCAGGCTGAGATTTGCCTCCAGGTCCCTCTTGCCCTTTTTCTAGCTCCTCCTCATCCCACTCCGTCGTAAGTTGACTCAGCAGGGTTGATGAGGCATTGGAGGTGCAGAAGTAAAGCAGGGGTGATGGGAAGGACAGAAAAGGAAAAATCTCAGTGCAGATTCATCCTCCAACTCCTGAGCTCTGAGCCTACTATAAAAATTTCTGCATGAACAGTATAAATACAGCGCTTTGGTTGTGGTATTACATTCTGAAGATATTACAGTTGGAAATATACCATTGAATTATACTGCCCATCTCTTTTAGAATGACCCTAAACTTCCCCCTCAGTTTTGATCAACTGAATCACAAACATAGGAAAATAATTTTGGAGGAAAAACTTAGATAATTGTTGTATATCAAATATGTTAATCGGGGAATTGAAAAGGAGTGGGTCCTAACCAGCTGTGTAATGCTGGAAAATCACTTGGCCTTCCTGAGCTGTGGTTGGTCTGTAAAGTGTGCCAAGTAAGTGCCGGACCTCTCAGGTCCCTTTCAACCCAGCGTTCCATGTTAACGCAGCCTGTGTTTCAGAGGCTCCTGTTATCCACTATAACTGCCAGCCATGTCTCCCCGATTACTCCCAAAAGTCACCAGGAGGTGACCCACATGTACGTCTGTCAGTTTTCACAGGTCAGACGATGTCCAGTCTTTCTTTCCTATTCCCAACCTGCCCTCTACTCACCCTCTCTATGGCTGTTGCCCCTGAGCTGCTGGTTCTGTGGGATGTAAAGTCTATCACTTATTACCACTGTCATGGCCGTGGGGAATTCAGGGCCTCGTGATGCCAAAGCTCTTTTAGGATTTGTACGCTGCAGTGTCGAGACCTGAAGCAGGACTTCCAAACTCCACCGCTAACATCCAAACCCTGGGAGCCCTTGCTAAGAGGCGACGTCAGGTTACTGGGAAATCTCTAGAGGCACCACTCAAATTCTTGATAGCATGTCAGTCTCTTCTCTGTTTCCACAAAGAATAACACAAGTTGGCTGGATACCCAAGACCCACAAAATATAGGACTGATCTAATCTGTCCCTGGAAACCGCTGAGACAAACCTATTATCGGAGAAGCCAGGACAAGCTATAATTAGAAGCCGAGTGAGTCACAGCTTCTAGGAGTTAGCGTCGAAGCTCTCACCCATTAAATGACACACTGGTTTGACGTCTGCTGAGGCTCATCCCAGGCGTCAGAACTCGCCCTCAGACAACAACTGAGGGAATATCTCAGTGACAAGAAGTATTCACGAAGCACAAGGATCTTCGTGCTGGGCCCAGCTTCACCATGAAGACAGATACAGTAAGTACAGACAAAGTGATAAAAATTGTTACTAGAAAAAAAATTCCCATCACTGCACACAGTTTCTCTTTAATTTTTCTTAGCATGGTGCACTTGCTAATTTAAGCCCTTCACATACTTTCCCAGCAGTGAATTGAATTTATGACTTTACTGTCCATCCTTCCAGGCCCGGTGGATTCAGAAAGAATATGAACTTTAAAATCCCAGCCTCATTACCTACTTGCTGGCTATGCCACCGTGAACAAGATGGTCAAACTTTCTAAATCTTAGTCCCCTTACTTATAAAATGAGTTTTTTTTTAATGAGGATTAAAAAAATAATAGTAATAGCTTTCAGTGCAAAGCACCTGGTTCAGGATCCCACATATATGGTGGGTGTTCAATCAGGGTCAGTTTCCTTCCATCCCAGGAGAGGCTATCAGATGACACTAGCTTCAGGTCTTCTGTCTGGCATACAATACTCTCTTCAAAGTGTTAACACCATTTCAGCTCAGCAGACACCTCATCTCAGGAAAGCCATTAGACACCCCCAAAGTACTATATTTTTCTCCTGGTAAGTAGCTTACTTCCCACAACTTCCCACTACTTTATACAAAGGGAGCCCAACAAATGAGTCATGCTACTTACAGAAGCAAATTTGGGAGCCCCACCCAAAACACGGGCATTTCCACTTTTCACAAGAAGCTAAGAGAACTACCGAATAAAGGTCTTGGGGGACCCACGGTCAGAAAACTCCAGACTGCCAAACTACCTCTGAATTCATATGCAAACCCAAAGTCTTAGTTCATTTTTTTTTCTTTTTGGTGAGTTTCTGTCTACAGTACTTAATGACCGCTGAGCATCACTGAGCAAACTTCTGCTGAATTTTCTGCTTTGTAGGGGGGTGGTATGGAGGGTACTGGAGGATATATCAAGATGGCTCAAACACTTTTTAAATGGGCAATACCAAATTAAATTTAAAACATCCCACTTGTTGGGTGATCAATTATTTTTTGGCAAATTAGAAGGTGATTATTTACTTTTTGAAAACATCTACCATTGCATTTAAAGTGTGATTTTGATTTTCATGAAAAATTTCAAGACTTCATCCATGGTATGAAAATACAGTAATTTGTATAAAAGTAAAAATAAAAAAAAAGATAAAGGAAGCCTGCCATTTGTCAGTCATAGGTGAAGAATAAATTTGCACTTGAGAAATAAATGCTCCAAGCCTGCAGAAAACACTGGTATGGTGATTGGATTTATACTACCTGTTTTGTGTGGAAATCCTATCCAAGGAACTGACGTAAAATTGGTGTAGAACTATTGAAAGCCTTAGGAGTAGAAACTGAAACAGAACATTTCTTTACATACTCTTGCAAAATCCAGAGCACACTGTGTAGATTGCTTAATTCTTCTGGGATTTTACCTTATTGCTTCATTTGGAACATATTCCTCTGTTGCCCCATTTTGCCTAATTCTTTGTTTTTATTTCTATGTATCTGGTGGGTTGGTTACACTTCCCAACCTTGGAGAAGTGGCCTTATGTTGGAGGTGTCTCATGGGGCCCAGCAGGTCACCAGAGCTATAAGTGCTAAGAGTGCCCTCTGTGGGAGCTGTGTGGGCCCTTCTGTGGTGGTGGACTGACTACTGTGGGCATGCTGGTAGGCATGACTGACTTCTGGTCTGGTTGGTTACTACTCCCTACCTAATGCAGAGACTGCTGGCCCCTGATGGTGGGGGTAAATTCCTGGCATGGCTGGCTGTATGGCCCGGAGAATCCTGGTCATGGTGCCAGACCACTGGTGGGTGGGGCTGGGACATTAGGTGACTGACTATGGAGCCTCAAGGTTCTGGGTCTAGTTCTGGCCCACTGGTGTGCAGAGCTGGGTCCTGGGGTAGTTGGCTGCAAGGCTAGGAGTCCCAAAGCTAGTGTTAGCCTGCTGGTGTGCAGGGCCAATTCCAATAGAGTTCAAGGTAACAATCATAAAGATGCTTTAAGAACTCAGGAGAAAATGGATGAACCCAGTGGGAAGTTTAATAAAAAGAAAATATAAAGAAGAACCAAATGCAACTGAAGCATATCGTTGCAAATATAAAATACACCAGAAGGAGTCAACAGTAAATTATATGATACAGAGGAATGGATCAGCAAACTAGAAACTGAGTCATGGAAATCATTCAAGCTGAACAGAAAAAAGAAAAGAAGAATTTTAAAAATGAGGACAGTTTAAGAGATATTTGGGACAGCATCAAGCATGCCAACGTTCACGGTATAGGAGTCTTAGAAGAGAAGAGAGAAAGAGGCAGAAAACAAATCTGAAGACATAATAGCTGAAAACTTCCCTAACCTGGGAAGGGACACAGACATCCAGGTTCAGGAATCATAGAGAGTCTCAATCATGATCAACCCAAAGAGGACCACACCAAGATACACTGTAATTAAAATGACAAAAATTAAAGAGAGAATCTTAAAAACAGTAAGGGAAAAGCAACTAGTTAGGTACAAGGGAACTCCCATAAGGCCATCAGCTTACTTTGCAGCAGACACACTGCAGGCCAGAAGGGAGTGGCATAGTATATTTAAAGAGATGAAAGGAAAAAAAATCTATAACCAAAAAAACTCTACCTGGCAAGCCTATAATTCAGATTTGATGGAGAGATCAAGAGTTTTACAGACAAGCAAAAACTAAAAATTCACACCACCAAATCAGCTTTACAAGAAATATTAAAGGTAATTCTCTAAGCAGAAAAAAAAAAGCCATAGCTAGATATGTAAAAACTACAAAAAGAAAAATCTCATTAGTTAAGGCAAACAGATAGTGAAGGTAGTAGATAAATCACTTATGTAGCTAGTAGGAAAGTTAAAAGACAAAAGTAGTAAAATCATCTATATCCACAATAAGTAGTTAAGGCACACAAACATATACACAAAATATGTAAAATATGAATGTCAAAAACATTAAATGTGGGGGTCGGGAGAGTGAAAATGCAAAGCTGTTAGAATGTATTCAAACTTAAGAGATCAGCAACTTAAAATAATCAAACACATGCACACAAATACACACCTCATGGTAGCACAACTGAAAAATCTATAGATAACACACACGAAAAAAAGAAGGTAATCCAAACATAAAACTAAAGACAGTCATCAAATCACAAGGGAAGAGAGAAAAAGAAGAAATAAAAAAGAACCATAAAAACAACTGAGAAACAATTCACAAAGTGGAAACAAGTATATACCTATCCATGATACCTTTAAATGTAAATGGACTAAATGCTGCAATCAAAAGGCATAGAGTGGCTGAATGGATACAAAATTAAGACCCATCTATATGTTGCCTACAAGAGAGCTGCTTCGTATCTAAAGACACAGACACAGACTGAAAGCGAGGGGATAGAAAAAAGTATTCCATGCAAAGGGAATAAAAAAGAAAGATAGGATAGCAATATTTATATCAGACAAAATAGACTTTAAAACAAAGACTGCAACAAGAGACAAAAAAGGACATTACATGATGATCAAGGGATCATCCAAGATCTAACAATTGTAAATATTTATGCACCCAACATAGGACCATCTAAATATGTAAAGCAAATATTAACAGACATAAAGGAAGAAATTGACAGTAACACAAAAATAGTAGTGGACTTTAACATCACACCTACATTTATGGACAGATCATCCATATTGGGAAAAAAAAATATATATATATATAATATAACCCATCCAAAGGAGCAGAATAGACATTCTTTCCAAATGCACATGGAACATTCTTCAGGATAGATCACAAGCTAGGCCACAAAGCAAGTCTCAGTAAATTTGAAAACATTGACATCATATCAAGCATCTTCTTAACCCACAATGCTATGAGACTTGAAGTCATCTACAGGAAAAAAAGAAAAAACAAACTTCAAAAAACACAAACATGTGGAAGCTAAACAATATGTTACTAAACAAACAATATGTCACTGAATAAAATCAAAAAGGGAATCAAAAAATACCTAGAAACAAATAAAAAATGATAAGACAATGATACAAAACCTGTGGGGCGCAGCAAAAACTGTTCTAAGAAGGAATTTTATAGCAAAGCAAGCCTACTTCACAAAACAATTAAAATCTCAAATAAAAGAAATGAGTGGAAGAAGAACAAGAAGCAGGAAAAATAAATAAATGGGAAACAGTGATTTAAAACAAATCATGGTCTCGACACTTCTGAGATCAAGTTGCAGGAGGTGCTACCAACACATGGAGGTCAATGAGGCTTTGCACCAGAACATGGATGACTTGGAGCAAAAAGATGAGGAGAATGGTCTAGACTACAGTTGTGCTGACACATAGAATGACCAACTGCAGGGACACTTGACTGTAGAGCATCTAAGGCTATGCTGAGAGGGTTCTGAGTTTCCTTTTTTTTCCCTAAGAAAAAATACTTTTTAGGAAAAAAATCTTCTGATAACTTCCATCACTGAACTTAAAAAAACTGACATTAAATTTCAAATGGAAGGAGTAATAAGGATTTCCAGGTTCGGGTAGAGAAATCATAATGTGAACTCTCCATTATAATAACCATGAAGAGAATAATACCCAGTGATTTCAGATTGGAGGTTACTTGGGATGGGATGGAATGGGAGAGACGCCATCTGCCCCTAAGACTTCAACTGAATTGGTTGTTATTTTTAAAGTATTTTGTAAAAGAATGATCCTTCATAACTTGTTCAATGTTTGGAATATTTCATGATAAATTTTTGTTTTTCTTTTTTGAGGATTAATTTTCATGAAATAAGGCACAAAAATCTTAGCTGTCCAGATTGATGAATTTTTATACAAGTGTACTTCAGTGTAATCCACTCAGATCAAAGTATAGAACATTTTCAACTCCAAAAAAAGGGAAAAAAAATCAACACACAAAAATCAGTTTAATTTCTCTATAATAACAAAGAAGAATTTCAAAGGAAGTTAAAAATAATTCCATTTACAATAGTATCAAAAAGAATAAAATACTTAGGAATAAACTTAAC